GATGTTTTGGAAAGATTTTTCAACTATAAACTTGCAACTAAATTACTTTCTGAAATAACAGAAATTCAAACTAAAGTGTTAGGTGTTGATCATATTGATGTTTCACATTCGTACAACGAGCTGGGTGAATTGTATTGGATAAATGGAGAATTGGAAAATGCTAAATATTTTCAAGAGCGAGCGATGGAAATTCAAACGAAAACATTTGGACCTGACCATGTTAATATTGCTACAACGTACAACAATCTAGGTATGGTTTACAGAGATATGGGAGAGTACGAAAAAGCAAAAGATTTTTATGAACGAACGATGGAAATTTACACCAAAACATTTGGACCTGACCATGTTAATATTGCGAATACGTACCAAAATCTGGGTTTGGTTTACAGTGAAATGGGAGAGAACGAAAAAGCAAAAGATTTTTATGAACGAGCGCTAGAAATTGAAACGAAAGCATTTGGACCTAACCATGTTAATATTGCGAGAACGTACAACCGTCTGGGTTTGGTTTACAATAATATGGGAGAGTACGAAAAAGCAAAAGATTTTTATGAACGAGCGATGAAAATTGATACGAAAATATTTGGACCTGATAATGTTAATATTGCGGCAACGTACAACAATCTAGGTTCGGTTTACGATGATATGGGAGAGTACGAAAAAGCAAAAGATTTTTGTGAACGAGCGATAAAAATTCAAACGAAAGCATTTGGACCTGACCATGTTAATGTTGCGACAACGTACAACAATCTGGGTTCGGTTTACGATAATATGGGAGAGTACGAAAAGCAAAAGATTTTATGAACGAGCGATAAAAATTCAAACGAAAGCATTTGGACCTGACCATGTTAATATTGCGACAACGTACAACAATCTGGGTTCGGTTTACGATGATATGGGAGAGTACGAAAAAGCAAAAGATTTTTATGAACGAGCGATTGAAATTGAAACGAAAGCATTTGGACCTGACCATGTTAATATTGCGACAACGTACAACAATCTGGGTTCGGTTTACGATAATATGGGAGAGTACGAAAAGCAAAAGATTTTATGAACGAGCGATAAAATTAAAACGAAAGCATTTGGACCTGACCATGTTAATATTGCGACAACGTACAACAATCTGGGTTCGGTTTACGATAATATGGGAGAGTACGAAAAAGCAAAAGATTTTTACGAACGAGCGATAAAAATTAAAACGAAAGCATTTGGACCTGACCATGTTAATGTTGCGACAACGTACGTCAATCTGGGTTCGGTTTACGATAATATGGGAGAGTACGAAAAAGCAAAAGATTTTTACGAACGAGCGATGAAAATTGACACGAAAGCATTTGGACCTGACCATGTTAATATTGCGACAATGTACAACAATCTAGGTTCAGTTTACTATAATATGGGAGAGTACGAAAAAGCAAAAGATTTTTACGAACGAGCGATAAAAATTAAAACGAAAGCATTTGGACCTGACCATGTTAATGTTGCGTCAACGTACTTTAATCTGGGTTCGGTTTACAAATATATGGGAGAGTACGAAAAAGCAAAAGATTTTTACGAACGAGCGATAGAAATTGACACGAAAGCATTTGGACCTGACCATGTTAATATTGCGACAACGTACAACAATCTCGGTTCAGTTTACTATAATATGGGAGAGTACGAAAAAGCAAAAGATTTTTATGAACGAGCGATTGAAATTGACACGAAAACATTTGGACCTGACCATGTTAATATTGCGAGAACGTACAACAATCTGGGTTTGGTTTACAGTAAAATGGGAGAGTACGAAAAAGCAAATTATTTTTATGTACGAGCGATGAAAATTAAAGCGAAAGCATTTAGTGACCATGTTTATACTGCGTTAACGCACAAAATCCCGGAATGGCGAAATACACTATATCGTTGTAATTTAATGTGATAGGAAAAACACGAAAAACCAACATAATAAAGTTTAAACGATAGAAATTGAAAGTGAAGAATTTGACCTCTATATTTATCTTTTCTTTGGCAACAGCTAAAAGTCTTCCGTATTTGAGAAACGTTTCACGAGATAAAGGAAGACAAAAAGGACAAAAGACAGTTGTATTTTCAGTTTAGAGCGATAGACATTGAAACCAAAGAATTTGGACCTGAACATGTACTGCAATAATATACAACAATCTTCATTTGGTTATAAACAAACTATAGATATTGAAACTGAAGCACTTGGATTTCTATTTATCTTTTATTTTCTAGAAGATAAAATACTCCTGTCTTTGTGAAAACGTACAAGAAGATAGAAGAAGAGGAAATGAATTTGTAGCTCATTTTCAATGAAAAAGAATATCAATTTCTCTTTTCATTTTAGGTAGGTCTTCTTTATACTAAAGCTGATTAGAAACAGTTGTATTGTAGATTTCTTTTAACAAAGGTTCAAATAACAACAGTTGTATATTTATAAAAGGTATAAATATATTATTGACAATATTCAAACATTTGTATTTTCAAGTTTTCAACTGTCATTTATTTACTGGAACAGTTTTTATTAAGAAACTTGTATGGAACTATCAAAGTATATGTATGAGTTTAGTTTGCAAAATCTAACTATTCAGAAGTTGTGAAGTTCCTTAAAATGAATGTTGTTGGGTCATTTTCTTGTATAATGAGAGTAAATACTGATCTTACAGCAACCATGATCATGTAACATCCCTTTTTGAAATGCTGAAAAGTCCACAAGATTTGCTTTGCTATATAAGTATAAATACAGTCTTTTCTAAATTTATTTCTATTCATTCATATAATTTACAAAATATACTTTCTATTTATGAGAATTGTAGTTGTTTGAAATGAACATGCAGTTATTGTTATTTGATTCAATCATACTTGATTTGGGGACTAACATCTTAATTGTCGTGACAATGTTTGTTTTTTTTTACTTTGGAGGAAATATTTATTTAATGATTGTTTCAATAATACTTTATTATAGTTCAAACTATAAAGGCAATGTCTTGCTTTTGCTATAGTTTATAGTTTACATTGCTTTGAAACTGATTCTCCCTGCTACATAAATGATTTTACCACTAAATCACAATACAAAATGTTGTGCTTATCTCTGATCCCAAGAAAATTAAATATAAATTAAAAATGAGATTTACTACATTTAAATGTAAGCGAAAAAAGAACATTGTCACAACATTTAAGGTGTAAATCCCCAACCTTAAATAGAAAGAAATGTTGAATCAAGTAACCAAACTATTGACCTTCTCTCCACACACAAATATACCCAAAAACCAGGGCTAAAAAAGGATCTTGTTCCTTGAAATGGAGCTACAAATCCATTCCTTACTGTAAAGACTAAACACAATAAAATCCTTTGCTGACAAGCGTTTTGATAGGTCTGGCATTGGTGACCACCTGACAATGTAATTTATCTTTATGTATGTTTTAGGTAGTGATGTAGCCAAGAAAAATGGGGCTTTCACTCTAATTATGTGTGTCTGGCCCATATTTACTGTTGTCATCTCATATGTAGTGTAGTGAGTAACGAAAAAGTAATTGAACAACAAAATATTTATTTTCATAGCACTGGTAGACTTGCTATACGCTACGAGTTGTCATGGTGTTATTAAAGGGCTGCATTCTGATATCTTCCTTTGATTCTTATTTTTTATTTTCCGTAAATTATACACGTATTTAATAAAATATACATTTAAGTTGATTTATCCAAAGGGGAACCCCCACGGTCTGAGGATCTAAGTTCTTGATACAGGGTGTTTCAAAAAAAAGGTAATCCAACTTTTATTTACTGATGTGTGTAAATTACTGAATAAATAACTGCAGTTTTAAATATTTATAAAAAGAGTTCTAGGTTCTAGCTATGGAATGCTTTGTTGTTTGTTGCGATTTGGAAGGTAAATAAGTGAATTGCAAGCGCGTTGAAAATTTTTGGTTAAAAAGACATTCTTTGACCTTTGAGCATTTTCCCACTAACATGAAAGTTGCTTCACTTTGATTTTGCTGGTTTGTTGACTGACTATCACATATTTCTTGGTGATGTCTCATTTTTCAACCTTTACAATATTTGAAATTATCTGACATTACAATTTCCATGATTCAGCAAAAATTGATCCTCAAGGAGCCTTAATTAAACGTAGTTAAATACATAATAAATTAATAACTACATACGTATAATATAGAAGCTACAGTGCATTAAAAATCCCAGTCAAGAGACTTATTTTAATTACATTTATACCTCCTAGCGTGGAGATCAATCATTGCCGCTGAATCATGCAAATTTCAAACTATCCGAAGATTTCAAAGATGACCAGTTCTTTTGAGACATATTGTAAGATATTTTGATTACAAAAAAAATTTTGCAAAGACCATCAAGTGTACGCTCACTACGCTGAAATCGATCGAGGAGTTTAACTACACTGTGAAGCATTTGGAAGAAATAAAAGCATAAAGCACTGTTTTACCCACTGTTAATTAAGTTGTACTAGATTGTACTAATCAAGTTGGCGTAATTTTATTCATGTGTAAAAAAATGAAATTGTGTAAAGTTACAATAGGTAATTTAAACACCTGAGATAAACATAACTTTCTCATGAGCTTATTCTGTTGCTGTAAAAATCTTACCATCATAAATCGTTGGTTAAAAGTGACTTGTCTTTCGATCAATTGTCGAGACAAGAATCGTGATCTAAGAAAGAAAAATGCTCAGGAAAACGTTTTAAAACAGCCAAAGGCCAATAAACTGCATTTGACTTGGAGACACTGGAGATTGAAACGTCGCTAAAGAACAAAATCTTTTGATTTCCCATTCATACCTTGGCTTGTAAACGGCATGGTGGACTCACAATATATATACGTCTTGTAAAATTACTGTCAAAAACGATGAAGGAGGAAAAAGATACTTACCATCTTAATATTTCCTCAGTTATAAAGCAGTTCAGACGAAGTAAAATATCAATTCGTAAATAGCTCAGCCTCAAGGGAATGGTGAACAAAAGCCAAATACGTTTTCATCGTGGTCAATAATCAATTTCTTTATTTATATAAGTCCTCCATCATGGTGAATTAAATCCACAAACATTTGTTCTATGTTTCTCGATCGCATTAACAGAAAATGTTCACGTCTAAAATAAAGCAAAGAATTAACATTAACAAAAACGAAAACTTTATAAGAAGACGTATATTTAGGTCACACATTTTGCATAAAGATATTAATGTCGTTTACATTTCACACTTCAATCAAAGAGAGAGCTCTCTCCTAACACGAATATCAAAAATCACATTTACCTGAACATGTTATCGAAAAAGTGAAAGATATATTTCGCTTTCGGCAAATATTCTTCGTGTATGTAGGAAGGTAGAGAATTAAATAACGCATTGACAGTTTGAGTTGATCTTAAAATATGCCCCAAGTTGCGGAAAGCGTGTGTTTTCTGATTGGTCAGTTCTTAGACGTGTACTTAATTCTACATGGTACACAAGTAAAAATGACTTGCTAATTGCATCTCATTTCTTTTTGTTTTTTATGAGCGAACGCTTTCATTTTTAAAGTTTGCTGCTTGCGTAAGAATAAAAAATTCTTTATGTCTTTGTAAGTGTAAGGTTCGTTTCAAACGTCGCATTTTACATGAACCAAATGCATTAAAAACAAAAGAAAATGAAAAAAATCCTCGATATCTTTTGTTTTAAATGCATTCGGCTCATGTAAAATTAGACGTTTCAAACAGGCCTAAGATAAATAGTAAACTCAATGACATAAAAAGCACTTAAAAAATGGCGGTATTTTCCGAGAACTCGAATATTCGTCAACCGTAATAATTCGTAATAATTAACGTATATTAATTATCATAACCCTATTATAACGTATAATAATTATATATATACGTTATATATAACCGTAATAATTAACGGTAATAATACGTTAAACATTTTGAGTTCCCACCCATTTTAGTCAGATTATATCAATCATACTGGTATTTGGCAATCGTCAATCATAAAAAAGCAAATCTTTACGTACTCATCGAGTGCCTATTTTTTAGAAATTATCATTGTATAAAGAATGTTTCAATGATACATCCTGTATAATTATTAAAAGGAAACTTGAAAATGTTATAAGCACATTAAACAAACAATTGTCGAATGCGTCAGCAACCAACCTGGTGAAACGGTAAATGAATTGAAGAAATAAAAATTTTATTAACATAAAAGTTGTTTAAAAGTCACTATTTGTTATTCGGCTTATTTTGATATCTATGTTGCATGCTTCGTTGTTTGTCCGTCTATGCTTAATTAATCTTTTGCTTGCATTTATGTGTCTGTTGATATCGAAAATAATGAGTTACAATGAAACAATGTTAGTGGTCCAAAAACAAAAGAATATTTTATGAATAATAAAAATGACATTGTTTAGTACATCCAAAGAAGTTAAGTCAATTGAGCAAAAAAATATTTCTTGTGATCATTTATGTACATTTATACCTGTATTAGATGGCAATCCTTGACAGAATAGAGAAATGGTGATCCATTATGATCCATTATAAATTACTGGAACTCCAAAACCCTTTAGATTTGTGCTATAAAAACATGAATGTTTAAATAACAAAGTTTAACCATGGGCGGCCCAAAAAATCACTTAAATTGTATAAACAAACGATAACTCGCCCCATTCCATCGTAACAGACCGTGCCCCGCAAACTTTGTATTGATTCATTGTATCTATATTATATATTTACGTAAAAAAATATATTAATAAATAATAAAAACAAATACATAAATGAATATATAATATGGATACAATTAATCAATACAAAGTTTGCGCGGCACGGTCTGTTACAATGGAATGGGGCGAGTTATCGTTTGTTTATACAATTTACGATATTTTTTGGGCCGCTTTTGGTTTAACCTCACAAAGTTAAATCTATAACAAATGTGCTTCACCAAGAAAAATGTGAAATCTCTATTTCATCGAGATTTTAACGATGATAATATACCATCAACGTTTGGTGGTTGTATTGTTTACCTCTGACTGACCATAACTTTCTTCAATTGTTTTTTGAAAGTCTCTTAATGTCATTCCATATTCCATATTTGTTTTTAACTTCTCTAGTTTAAACATAACAGGACAATCCAGTGATATACAGCTCAGTTGTTCATCTCTAGCTCCACAACACTGAAAACATATCTACAATATGGAAAAAAATTAAATGTCATGAAAAAGACAAACCATAATTATTTGGTTATTTATTATGCATACCTCTTTAAGATGACTGTATTTTCTTTCCCAGTTCCCCACTCTACTTGCCAGAATAAAGACAGACTTTTGAGGGTTGCTACGATAACTTTGACACAAACCATGCTGTGTTAATTGTTCACATACAGGACAGTGTAGAGTTGTAAAAAACCGAGAAATCGAACGCTAAAATTTGTTCAAATAAATTAATTTAGCTTTTACATCAATTCATGAATGTACTTATGACAACTAACTTTTTGTTTCCTTGCAATAACACGATGTCGAGGGATATAGCGGGGTAGTGGTGTATACCATGAAAACACATCAACACCAATCAAGGAAAAAACTCGATCCAATGGAGGAAGTATTTGTTTCTGAACATAGTAGATGGTATTGAGGCGTAGATTTCTATCATTTAACACATCAATAGGACTGAAGAAAATTAAAACAAGAAGATTGTTTAATGAAGACAATCATATTTATACTAAAGTATTTATTAATAACATTCCAACAGCTTTTGTCATGATACATAACGTAAAATAATGAAAGACAGCAACATTTGAACATACTCTTTAACCAATTGAATCAATGGTAGTCCAGGACTGCCGTTAACAATGACGTAAGGTACACGTTCTCCCACGCGACGATCACGTGACAAATGACGTCTATACAAAAATAGAAATAGTAAAACTGTAATCATGACAACAATATAAAGAGGATTTTTCATTTCAACAATAAAATGAACCTTGCAATTTCCAAAGCTGGAACACATGCTTTTGGTTTATATCTTTTCATACCACGATATTCCTTAGCAAAGATGAAATCCTGAATCGATACTCTATCTTTCATCATTTTAACGAACTGCCGCTGGACAAACTTCTTCACAAGACTCACGTCTCTTTCTTCAAATAAAATCCTTAAAGACTTCTCTAAAATCTGTTAGAAAAATAAAATCACAGACTGCTTTGAACTCAAAACTACCCTCCCCTGCAGAATCTTGTGTGATTGGATGAGACAGTAAATATTGTCGATTGTTCCATACCTTAGCGACCGCTGGACATGTATCTCGCCGTACAGTCTCTATTCCTTTCGCATCAAACACTGGATCTTTCTGTTCTAATGTTTCGTACATATAACCAACGTAACATTTCTTTGTTTGAAGAACACAAGGCATATATACCTAAAAATCATCCCTAGTTATACATAAATGTATTTTAAAGTCCAAATCTCTCAAATAGATACAATTTTACAGTAGATAAAAACCTTTTCAAACTTTAGTTTCACAGGTTTAGGATTCTCTGCAGTAACAGCATCAACAATTTCTTTTCCAATCTTAAACGCTTTCTCTTTACTGGCACCTTTTACTAACACGAAAAGACTATCGGTGTCCCCATATACCACACGAGAACCCCACTCATCCCTTGTGTTCACGAGATTGATAGCTCGTTCCAGGGTCTCGCGTGCTTTACGAACAATGGCGTCAGCAATCTAATGAAAAACAGAAAAGAATATTCAGATGATTTTAAGAGTAAAATGAATCCAGTATCACAATAAGCACTTGACAGATTTTCAATCTGAGCACGTGACTTAGTCCAGGCTCACGATAATCATAATAATTAACATGTATCTATATTGTATGTATTATATCTTTACCAATTATCTGTAGTAAATATATTATTTATTTATTGTATCTAAAATATATATGTGTATTGGTAAATATATAATATATATAATATAGATACAATCAATTAATACAAAGTTTACGGCGCACGGTCTGTTTAGATGGAATGGGGAGAGTTATCGTTTGTTTAAATTTCTATCATGAATACAAAGTTTACGGCACAAGGTCTGTTTAGATGGAATGGGGAGAGTTATCGTTTGTTTAAATTTCTATCATGACAAGATCAAAGTTACCTCAACACACGGCATTCGTCCTGAGAAGTTTGCTGATGTGTAACCATAAGTTTACCTCAACACAAGGCATTCGTCCTGAGAAGTTTGTGGATGTGTAACCATAAGTGACATTTGCAATCAACTTTAAAGCAAGTTGTCGAGCATCAAGAAGTTGAAGAAGAGTCTAAAATGTAAATAATTTATGATATTGAATGATTAAAGAAAACAAACGAAGAGTGGAAAGGCATCTTTTTTGAACATGATGAAAACTCCATGACGTTTTAGCTACTGGATCTTATAAAAACATCAAAGATCGCTTCGAAAACAAAGGTTTAATAAAACCAACTTACTTTATCATCTTTACAATCTTTCATAGCTTTCTTTACCATAATACGTGTGTCTAATATCTCCTCTAACATTCTAAAATAAATCAAACTTATTGAACATATAATAGCCAAAGATATCAAGACCATTTAGGAGAGTAAAGACTTAAGAAGGAACGCTATGTATATTGCAAAATATACAACAAAATGCAAATGTTATTTTTTTCAACAATCTTTTGAATCAATAAAAATGTGACCTGTAACCAAATGAATGTGAAATATCCCACATTACCTGGGTAAAATCCCTCGTCTTATGTTAGATTTTACAAAAACAGAGCCGTTGGTGCTTACATGAATATCATTTTGCAGTTTCTGAAAGGAAATGTATTGTTTTAAATGTATTGCTTGTCGTGATGGTAATTTATTAAAAATTCTCACCTCCAGTAATGTTGGAGAAACATTTAACGATGTACAACCAAACTCAAAATGAACAACGACATGTAAGACAGAGAAAATGACTTTTTACCTTAATTTTACAATCCATGCTACACGACAGAAGAAGATGAGCAGATTTCGGAAAGAATCTTATTGCAGAAACACCTTTAGTGTGACCAGACCTAAGAGAAAGATAAAATAATACAATAATACATAAGTAAGAATATCTCCATTGCTTTCTTTTATCACGACGGTAGAAGGATGAACTACAGGAAAACAAATACTTAAATGTTATTAAAAAGTGCTGTATCAAGTGAATATTTGCATCAGGAAGTATCGTTACGTTTTGCTCGAGGTTAGTAGAGTCCTGTGAAGGACTGTTCGTGTTGATGTTGACTGACGTTTCGACAACCTTAGCAGTAGTCATCTTCAAAGTCAAATGATAAGTAAATGTCAGGTTAGCCGTGTTTCTTAAAACAAGTGCTAAGGAAGTCCAACACAATATCTACAAACATACGTACGTAGTACTAGAACAAATCATTACTTTATAATAAATAATACACTGATAAATATGATTTTATAAACGTATCACATGATCACCTAAACGTCTTGACTCAAACAGAAGCATCGTATTAAAAAAACGCTCATATTTTAAGTTTATATTTGGATGAGACGCTTTCTCTAATGAATACTGTAATGTATAATTGAACTTCCTCAATACCATCAAGAATTATATCATAAACTGTCTTTAAACTTAATTCAATTATTGCGTGTTTTCCTTAAAATCTACAAAAGTTAAAGCATATTGATGACTCGAAGTCAGACGTTCCATGGCGTTTCTAATTACATTTTAGTAAGTAAACTTTCATATTTCTTCCGTTTTTGTTTTACAGTAAAGTAACAGAAAACAAACAAATGCAAGAATAACTAAAATTCAATACCGTGTTTAACGTCATTTCTGGTATTTTAACTTCCATTTTTTGATTTTAATAAAATGAACTAAGTGGAGAATTGTTTACATACCACGTATGAATATGTTGCTTTGGTAGAAAACATCGTTCTGGAGGAGTATCTGACTTGAGATTAATGCCAAGATCTTGTGGAATGTGAAGGTATCATCTTCCTTGATAGTCATTTGCATCTTTAACTGAAAAACAACATTTGGTAATGTTTAGGAAACTACAAAAAAGTATGAAAATTTTAACTTACTGTGTAATGTGGATTTCTCTTCTGAAGGTTTCATATCATCTTTCTTTGATTTGTCTTTCTTCGATACTTTATATTCCTCAAGGATTGTTGACTCTTCCTGTATTCATCAAGGTAAAAAGCCAGAAAAATAATTGTTTGATTTGAAAATTATCTTTATAAAACTCTTTATTTGGGTAATTGAAATACCTCCCATGGTTTAGCAATATTTTCTTCATCAACAAACTAACTCCATGGTCCTATAGGATAACAGAGAATAAGAGATAGTAGAACAATCTTTAAAAAGTTATGATTATTGTAGTAATCGTATCCTTGTATCCATCAATCACACCAGGATCTCCCCTATCCTCTCTCTTCCTCTTATCTCCCGCCCACTGTTTTGTAGCTTCAAACACAGTCAATCCCTTGCTATCCTTTGCTTTCTCAACATCCCCAACAAATCTTAATGGATAACAATTGATTCAAACATAAAACATTACCAAGCCTATGCATTTACATACTCTGAGTTAGTATTTTGCCAGCGTGCAGAAATTGAGTTTTCCCTTTCCATGATCTTCAACTGCTCGTCAATTCTAAACAGTAAATACCAAATCATTACAAATATAAGGCACGGTCAGACAAGCACCTGCAAGTTGCATATACATCTCTACTTGTACGTACGTATAAAAACAAGAAATAATTTTTTATTCGATATTCCAACTTATTATTCACAATGTTACGACGTACATTCATAGCTTCAAAATTTTACCACTTCATTTTTCTAAATTCACACTGTTTAAGACTTTAATATCTCTAGAAACATGTTGAACTTTTCGAACATACTTTTCATCTGATTAAATGGAACAGTCAGTTCACTTGGATCAGTGCAACCATTCCATCGATGGTAAAGATCAGCGTACAAGTCCAGGTATATAACGTACTTGCATTTCCAATCTTCTTCTTCTGTAAGTTGTTCAAGATTTACGTATATTTGTTAAAAAAAGTTTTCTGTGGGCAAAACATTTCCACATAATGAGCATCAATAATTATGCGTCAAATCTGTTCCTTCGCTACAAGCCATTGTTTCTCAATTACTAACCAGTCTCAACTTTACGACCAAAAAAGTCGATTCGTCCTTCATCCACTCACGAATATCATCTATTGAAATCCTGTCAGCTTTAGATAATGAAAAAAGAAAATTAACTGCTTTCATGTGAGTCGTAAATAGTTCATATCCAAAATAGGAGTCAAATATAATCACACAGCAAATACAAACATATACTCACACGGAAAGCACCTGCATAACTTTTCAATATCTGATTTTGCAGTTTCTTCCACGTCAACAGCTCGCTTCATCCTTGCCATCAGCAAATTGCCTCAAAAAACAAAATTTAATTCATACCTGCTATTACATAATATGATGACATGTTAGCTATGTATATGTTCAAACAAAGAAAGAAAAACTAGCTATACCTAAATTAATCTTCGTTTTCTTTCCATAATGTAAAAGAGCATCACTGAGTACATCAACTCTGTGACTTGGACGCATTTCTTTAGTCATTCTGCTAAATTTGCGAATGTAAGCTCACAATCTCTCCAACATCTCACCGTCAGTTAGGCCAAATCCTTCTTTACGACGGGGACTAAATTTAACCTTTACAAGAAAGATTTAGTAAACAATTATTGAATTTTTATCATTTTATCATCTACAATACCATTAGTTATGATAGCATAGGTATCACCATCTGTTAATACGTATGAAAAATAAAAACAATAACAACTAACTTGGCATCGTCCAACATGCCCATAGCAGTAAAAATTGGAATTGAAAATTGAAAATGTCAACAATCGGATCCTCCAAATTCTTTTGTCAAAAACAAAATAGAGAAAAACATGTGAAAGACTACCTTTTCAAAGAAAAAAGTGTTGAGGGAAAGTTATTGACAAAGGAAACAGGTAACAAAGCAACTATTGTCAATTGAATATTACCTGTAAGTGTTTCACCAACATGCATGCAACATCATACAATATGTTTATTTTGAGTGCAGGATTATCAACATTATCTTTCTCTAATTCTTGGAGAACATAAACTGCATAGCTCAATCTATAAAATATGTAGAATATTTTTTTAAATAATGCAACCACATGTATGCAAAAAGCTTCAGCACTTGCACAAAGCATTGAAAGTAGCAAACCAACTGAAAAAAATAAATTTACACCATCAAATGCATGCATCCTAACCACCTCTTTCAAACCAAGAACATTTAGGTAAAATAGAGAAAAATGTGTGTAACAGACCTCTCTCCATGTTTCAAATTTAAGAATTTTTTAGGAAACTCATGTCGACAGCCTCGCCCAAAGATTGCTGTTTCATCAAGAGCTCTGTAGCGATTCATTGATCAAACAGCATTCCCAGCAAGAAAACCATGACACTCCTATAAGTATCAATATGTAACAAACAAAAAGTATACAAGAGCTTTGTTTCCTAAAGCCCATGGCACAAATTTATTGAAAATAAAAACTATGTGCTAGAGAATGTAAAAAAATCAAATATATTCAAAACACTGTAACTTCCATGCCTGAATTTTCATTAGAATAACAAAGTATATTAAAGCTACATTGACCTTGTTTGATGTAGGTGTGGTATAATTGGCAACAAATTGATCAACATGTGTCTGATCATAGAACATCAGCAGTCCAAATAGAGGTTTTCCAAGACTTTGCCCAGCTTTTTCCTTCGTCCAATAAATAGAGCATCAAGAGACTCAAAGATCACACCATCAGTCTTCAATAAAATGGTGAAGGATAAAATCATGCAATGTATTTGAGTTCAATGATGCAAATGATGCAGTCAAAAGGTGTTTGAGATAGCATTGCTAATGTTCTTTTACTAAATTGTCATTGTTAAACAAGTAATCTGAATATACTCACTTTGGGACAAGTAGGACAGATATTTCCTTCATCAAGCTCAGGAATAACACAGCTCAACATGTTTAGTTTATGTCTGTAAATTCTGAAAAACAATGACACAAAGAAAGCAATTATGCACTCTTAAACAAATGACATAAACAAAATACAGTGCAAGACAGTAATACTTGAGGAAAAATCCTTTCCCATCATAAACTTTAGCATTTTGATTTCCTCCAATTAAATACATCTCTTAAGATGAGATTCTTAGGCTATAAAATTGACTGCAACTTTCCCAGCAATTCATACATAGTACAGCAGTGCAATAAATCAGTGACCTACATGCAGTTACCTATATTCTTCAAAAGCATCTATAATGACAGGATACATTTTGGTGTTGCATAAGAAGAGAATATGTGGTTATGATTAAACTCTTCAAATGACTGACAAATGCTTTTATTGATGCCTGGCATTCCATCTGCACAGAATGAATCAATTCAAAAACTCAATTGCAAATGCAATTCTTGGTTTTGTAGGTGTTCCACCCAAAGGCCAAATTGCAGAAGTTGAACAAACTCTGAGAGCATGAGCAAAGTGTACCTCAACAGTACAAAAGGTGCCTAAAAATTGAAAAAGATCCAAAATTATAATTGTGTTGAACCATCCCAGCTAAAATGAAAAACTTTTGCAGCACATTTTACATATAACATACCTTTAACATCAACAACAGAAACACTTCTTTTGTGACGAGCTGTTTGGCATGAACAATCATACACCAGCATGTTCATGAGTTTATATGGCCAAAACATGCCATCCTACAAAGCAATGAATAACCTCGTAGAAATTAGTTGTAATCAATCCCCTTTCTTGCATTCATAAAAAATATTAGATTAGTGCTTTGTAGCATGTTTCACAATGTAAACTCTCATTTTATTTTTGCATTTTTTGTTGCAAGTGTTGAGAGAGTTAACTGTAAACACTTTTATAATATCTAGCTCATAAAGGTTACCTTAAATATTTCAACATGATGACAAATATTTACGGTTGTGTGCATCTTTAACATACAGTTCTCACAATACTTTGCCATTGGACCACAATCGCTGCACCTAAACTTTGCTTCATTATCACAATGAATACACTTCAGATTGCTCCAATTTTGCCAGCAAACTGAAATGTATTCTTTATAATTGAATGTCGCAAATTTTCCCATGCTTTTTGTTTTCTTTCAACTTTCTGGTAATAAGAAGATGATTCTTCACAATCATGGTGAACATCACTTTCAAGATCACTGTTATCTTGTTCCATTCCCAGTTCATGGCCTTCCAATGCACCACAATTATCAGGACTGTTAATAGAACAGCTTCCTCTATGATCCTCAGTAACCAATTCTGACAAATGCACCTCCTCTCTCTCAACATGGCCATCCTCATCATGATATGTGACAGCTACAGTTGCTTTAAACCTTTTATTGCTCCTACAAAAATTATCATAAAAATCTATAAAATGAAAATAAATGTTGAAAAGTCTAACAGCTATAAGGCCGTTATTTGGTGTACCTTGGCATCTTTTAAAATTACCAGCAAGAAAATCACAAATCAGAAAATATTATCGATATTACCAATGACACAATAACATAAGTTAAACGACCAAAGTACAACGTATGTATCTCCCACGACTACCTGCCGACGTTTTGTACCGTACTTTACTGGCTTTTAGCCACGTCTTATAAGACGAATGGAGTGATTTGTTTCGTTGGTAAAACGAAAGGGTTTTTCTTCCGGTATATATTGTAGGAGCCTTTTTCCTAGGGGTAGGGTTACATGTCTAACGTGACCGGAAACGTCAATCATTTAAATTATTCTACAGAACGACTAGAACGTCTCACTTGCGATGAAGTATTTTGTGTCTTGAAATCTTTGTGAATTTGTGAAGGTATGTTGATTTTAAACTTTACCTTTCGTTGTTATATTGTATTTTGATTTTGTGATTTAATGTTTCATGTCCATTTATCGATTATTTTGTTTTTCTGTAAAATATTCTACTTCGGCGTTATGTACGTATGTAAATGTTTTATAAAGATAAATTTGTTGATTTTGGTGAGATTTGGAACTAGCTCGAATCAAGTTTGGAAAATGAACTTGTTAACTTTCATATATCTTTATATAATAATAAAAAGAAATAAATTTCTACTATATAATAGTAATGTTCTACATCGATACACATCATGTGTATGGTCACGAGGTAGTAGAGGAAATAAGATATTCATGGGTAATTTCGTAAAAGCACTATTGCTAATGCGCATTTAATATACACGACAAGTTTTTTTAAAATAGACATGTTTCGACATCTCATGATGCCATCTTCAGTATGAATGAAATAATAAGTGATACAGGCACAGAATAGATATATACAGAAGCGCCACTCGATGTCGGAACCTTTGATGTTCGTGTCCGCAGCATCCGGGCAACTTTACACGGCGGCCATGTTTCCAGCCAGATCATTGAGCTCTATAAGACCTGGAGGGGCAAAGGGGCCTGGACCCCGTGGTCAAAAACATGGCGGTAATGGCGGATGTTGGTTGTCAAAACTTCCACTTTGAGAAAAATTTTTAACATTCGCTCCCTCCCGAAACGGATCTCTATTACTGCTCATAATAATGACAACCACGATACCGTAAGCATAAAATATTGAAAATAATGCTTCAGGTTTTTGTGAAATAGACACACACATTTAAATGAGGTAAATCTACTGTAAAATAACGTATATTTTGTCAAGTAATGCTTTAGCTATATTAAAATAAATATCAAACGGCAATCTTTACACTGTCAATGTGTTGTTAAGCTTTAATGCATAATCCCATGCGCATTACTTGTGTTTTTGACTGTTTGTGAACAGCTTGGTGCAACTGTCTTTCTTGAATAGATGGGTAAATCTTAGTTAAAATGTCCAAAGGAGTTAGAAAAGTTAGCTTACCCCTCGACTTAAGTCGACTGGAAATATATTATAAGTAGGTATGTAGTTTTTTTGAGTTTTTTTTTTGGTAGAATTGATTCTGGGTGTCTTATAAAGTATTATGATATTCTGAAGAAAATATCTTGAAC